AAAAAATTCTCTTTCTCTTAAAAAAAAGAATCTTGCTCAAGGTCACCCACATAACAATGGCAGAACTAGAATTTTAGCTCAGATCTGCCCAATTTCAAATCTGCACAAGCCACTCAACAAAGAAAAAATCATAGGAGGGTACAAGACAATAGGAGTATCGTAATCAGAATAATAAGAAGTATGAGGGGCTGGGTCTGTAGCCCAGTGGCAGAGCGCTTGCCTAGCACAGGTGAGGCACTGGATTCGATTCTTAGCATCACATTAAAATAAACAAAATAAAGACATTCTGTCCATCTATATCTACCAAAAGAAAAAAAAAGAAAAAATTTAAAAAAGAATAAGAAGTATGGGACTAAGTTTAGAAGAGAAAGGTTAGGTTCTTCTCCACATTCCAGTCTTCCCTTTTAAAATTATTCCAGGTAAGAGTGGAGTGGCATTTACTGAAGGCTTCCTTACTTGAAGGAAAGAGTAACACAGAGATTGGAGATACCTGGTGGATGACATAGATTCCATAAGCAAGCTGCTGGCGTTGCAGGAAGGGGTGCAGGTGGTAGAGCAGCAGGCGTAGGTGGTGCTCCCGGGCACGATGGGGCACAATGATGGCTGTCCGGGAGCGGGGCTCACACCCTGCTGGGCGGTACCTGCCTCCAGGTTCTACCCGAGGATTCCGCTCCACAATCTCTGCTATCGATGGTACTGGGCTAAAGGACACCGACACGGGGCCCACTGTTGGGAGGGAATGTCACATTAAGGAATTAGAGGGGCAGGGAGAAGAAAATGAGCATCAGGGCCTGGGAATACCTCTGGATCTGGCAATCTGGTTCTGGGCTCAATTCTCCCCCAGGCTCACTCAGAAATCTCACAAGCCTTGGATTTCCCCTCATCTACAAAATCTGGAAGGTATTTACCTACCTTCTTTGTAGGGCTCTATAACTTTCTCCTGCCCCACGGGGTTTGAAGTTAGAGTTGGGGATGAGAGAGAACAGGAACTTCTAACCAACTAATTAAACCAGGACTCAACTTCATCTAGCCTGAGGCTGGGAGAACCCATAAATGGGAAGGCAGTGAACCAGTGGCCCAATCCAAGAACATGGTCCAAACTCTGACTTTAGAGTAGACTCTATCTCAACCTCAGCCCACCTTCAAAATAATCTGTTCTAAGTCCCACTCCATACCTGCCCAAGGCTCCCTGCCCCTACACACTGTCCTTTCCTTCACCTCCTCCTTCCCTTTGCACTCACCTAAGAGAGGAGATCTTTCAGGACAGTAGGGTAGGCCTTGAGGAGCTGAAGGACCCCCTGGAGCTACAGGGGCCCCAGGCAGATGACTGAGGTTACTGTAGACATCTCGGGGGTGAGAATAGTCAAAAGTAGGCCCCTGGTCCCGGCCAAATAGGGCACTAAGGCTCCGGAAGCCCCCTAGTGACAAGTACATCATGACGGCCAGCTGGGAACCCACAAGCAGGGCCAGTGTGCAGGGCCGCTCCAGCAGCCTCCGCAACATCCTGAGGTGAGGTCTGGGGAAGAAGAAAGAGGAGTTCTGGGAGTAGGCTAGAAAAGAGCAAGCCAGCAAGGAGATCATTGAGAGAAGAGGAATGAAGGTGATGTCAGGAACAAAAAAGAAAAGCAGAGAACAGAGTTATAGGAAGGAGCACACAAGTGTATGGTCACACAAGGAAAAGAAATAGAATGTAACCATCAACAGCCCCCACCACCTGTCACTTCCAGCCCAAGTTTCACTCTTGTCCACCTCCCCTCGAACCACTCCTACCATCTACTTTCAGTTCCCACCTCCAAGAATGTTTACATCATTCAAGTCCCATGTCCACTTCAGAAGAGTCTCTAGAGAACCCTTCTAATTTTAGAGAGCAATAGAGAGACTCACCTAGATTCAAATTGTCTTCCTCCAGATCATGGGGGCTCCAGGGGGTCCCAGAGGGGCAGAGATGTGAGGCATTATCTAAAATTGGAAATGTCACAGAGGACAGAGAAAGGCTCCATCTAGCACTCCAACAGCGAATATGGGACCAACTGGAACAGAAGTGATCAAGAATAGCCAGCCACCTGCATGGGCAAAGATCAGGTAAAGCACGTTTCCCATCAGGGGAAGTGAGGGAAAGTGGTTGGAAATGCCAGGTCTCTGGCCTTTCTCTCAGGCTACTGTGGAATTACAGTGTGATAGTGTCAGAGTTGTACTTCACTCCCTACCCCACCACACCAGCACGGACTAGTTTGGGGAGTGGGGACAGGGAAATAAATGAAGACACTGTTTTATCCCAAACCAAAAACCCGTTTAAGAAGGGAGACCGTCATGACAAAACTGTCAAAAACCCGTTTAAAGAGGCGAGACAGTAGAGACTGTGGAGTGGCCTCGGGAGAGCCCAGGACGAGGATAGAAATAGGTTCCTTCCGTTTTCATGTGCCAGGGAGCTAGCTCCGCAGGTTCAGGGAGAATGACCACCTGGGAGCTGCAAGCAAACATCCCTGGAGCGCGGCGGGGTGCACCGCGCGGATGGCATCCTTTACCTTTTCCGCCTTTCCCCAGCCCCAACAGAGGTGGAGAGCAGGGTGACTGCTGAAGTGCGGAGACAGGGAGGGCTGAAGCAGAGACTGTCGGGGTACCTAGGCGGGCTCACCTGGAGGGGCGTGGCCGGCTTTCTGCCTGGGGTTAAAACCCTGTCTTTTCCGAGCACGCCCACCCCATCCCAAGCTCCTCTTGCTTTTGCCCTACCGTGCAAAATGAGCCCACCCGGTCCCCGACCACAATTCCCTCTGGAACCTTGTCCCTAGCTTGTTTCCATCCCTTACCCCAAACTTCACCCTCCCTTCCGACCGAACCTTTCTCCGAGGCCTCTGTCTCCACGTTCCCTAGCCCACATACCTGGTCTTCTGTCTACCTCGTCACCGCCACCCAGACAGCCGGGCGGGCATCTCTGCCGCCATCTTGGAAGCGGGCGCTGCGGGGCGGAGCCTCGCGTCATGGGGCGGGGCCGCCGGGCGAAGCGCAGGGTTCCAGCGGCGCGCAGCCTGGAGGCGTCTGCCGGAGTGCAGCGAGGGCGGGCGAGGGTGGGTTTCTTGCTCGTGGAGAGAACCGAAGGATCCTACACCTCGCGGAGTGAGCAGGAGGATCTCAACTCGAACTCGCAGTCTTCTATTGGGATTCCATTTCCCACCTCTCAGATTTGTAAAGACAGTAGCTCAACCCCTTCGTCTTTCATAGAGCCCAAAGGGACTGTCTTAGAGGCCGGAGGGACTGTTTCTGGTGCAGTGACCTCACTATCCCCCGAGGGGGGTGGGAGTGGGGGGGTAGGCTGAGCGCCTTTCCCAGTTGTCGATGACACCTCTTGCGGCGTCGGGCCACTTAGTATCAAAATTGTTTCTCGCTCAGGCTTTAATGTTGCAGACTCCTGCAGCGCATTTTGTATCTCCGTGGTATCTGCAGGCCTTGAAATAAAAGCAGTGAATAAAACACTGAGTGTGGAAGAAAAGGCAGAGCCGGTTTTAATGTAAAAATATGTTTCCTTAGGTATTATAGTAAAATGGACGCTACATTGATAATGCAATATGTTATTCTTTTGGTTTCTAATGGTAAGGGACTTGAAATTACTCAGTGTCTACCTCAAAAAGCTGATGGTGTCTTGTGCACGTGTGGCAGGGAGGAAGGGATATAAACAGTATAGTGTGATAAATATGATATCCCAGAAATGGCAACTCATTCATACGTGGAGATTCCGGAAAGGCTTTCCAGAAATAGTGATGGCTAATGGGAAACCTGAAGACCTTGTGTATAGTATATTCTGCTTTATATGATTCTGTTTTCACGGGCATTAATTATACAATTTAGTATAAGAACCTAATCTGTATGCAAAGACCATCCTGTCTGGTAGAGATTCTGTTAATCTCCTACTCCTCACTTATGGAAAAAAAGCAACTTTTGCCCCCACTTTCTTATTTATTTTTGTTTTCCTGATCTGTAAATGTGTCTGTTCTCTAGATTTTCTCTTGTAACGATTAGAACATTTGCCACTTCTTTTGTGATATAAACAATAAGCTCATTTTTACATGGAAATCAAAAGACTGTCTCCTTAACCAAACTTTAAACCTTTCTTCTGAGCCGTTTTTTTTTTTTTTAATGAGGTCATATTCCTGAGTCCCTTTTGGGCCTAGGTAGCCAGTTTTAGCAAGAATCCTGCCAAGACAGATAAGAGAGCACTGGATATCTGACAACCCTCAACTACCTTCTGTAAAAATCCTGTTATCAGTTTATCTAGAATTCCCCTATCCTTGATGTAATTTTGCTTCCATCCACTGACCTTCTCATTTTGCCTATAAATCCCCACTTGTCCGTGCTGTATTAGGATTTTGGCCTGATACCTCTATCTCTCTCTCTCTCTCTTCCCCTTTCTCCCTCTCTCCCTTATTGTGATAGTCTTTTTTACCTCCCGATAACCCTAAATAGTCTTCTGCTCTATTTTAGCAAGTGTCAGGGTAATTTTTTTCTTTAACAATATAAAAATTAGGGCTGGGGATGTGGCTCAAGCGGTAGCGCGCTCGCCTGGCATGCGTGCGGCCCGGCTTCAATCCTCAGCACCACATACAAACAACAATGTTGTGTCCGCCGAGAAATGGAAAATAAATATTAAAAAATTCTCTCTCTCTCTCTCAAAAAAAAAAAACCCAGTATAAAAGTTAAAAATATATTATTTTTAAGATTGGGGAATTGAACTCGGATGTTCTACATCTGAACACTGGACCCCAATCACTTTAATTTACAACTTTTTTGTTGTTGTTGTTGTTTAAGGTACCAGGGATTGAACAAACTCGGGCGCTTAACCACTGAGCTACATCCTCAGCCCTTTTTATTTTTGAGACAAGGCCTTACTAAATTGCTTAGACTGACTTTGAATTTGCAGTCCTTCTGCTGCAGCCTCCCAATCTGCTTGTATTCCAAGTGTGTGTCCTGCACCTGGGTACAACTTTTAATGTACAATATGAAATCTGTAATTTCTTGAAATTTTCACTTACTCTTGATAAGAGTTGAGTCTATACTTTCAACCTTCATCATCAGGAGGGATGCCTAATTCTTCATCTGTCCACTGGGAAGGATCTGGATATGTAAAATGACCCAGCACAGCATCTGAGTCATACCAAAAGTGCTAGAGAATCCAGAAGCAATGGTCATACCGGAGACCTCACCTGGATCACCTAGGATCTGGTCAGCTGGGGAAACTGCCTATGCCAGCGCTCAATATGTACAGCACCACCAGCATGATTTAAAAAAGAAAAGAAGAAAAGTTCAAGTTTAAAAGACTTTGGGGGCTGAGGATGTAACTCAGTGGTAGACCTTGATGTACAAAACCATGAGTTCAATTCCCAGGAAAAAAAAAAAAAGCATTTGGGTTGGATGAAGTTACCTTTGAGAACTTTTAGAGGCAAACAGAACTCAGTAACTGATTGACTTTGCCAAGTCCTGAAGTTAGAAGACTCCAAGATGACTCCTGGATTTTTAACTTGAACCAAAGGGTGGATAATGAATGAGGGTTTTTGTTTGTGCTAGGGAGCAAACCCAAGGACTTACATGCTGGGCAAGTACGCTACCACTGAGTTGCATTCCTAGTTCTGTGGTGTCATTTAATGAGCAAAACTTAGGGGGAACATATTTGGGGAAAGGGCAAAGATGATGAATTTTGGACTTAACAAGTTCGAGGTGACTATAAAGGGTGAAAATGAAATAATGCTGGATTTGAATACAACACCAGCTTTGAAATACTTTGGTGGTATGACTAAACAATATCCTCTCTAGGTTTCATTTGTAAAATAAACTTTTTTTTTCCTTAGTTGTAGATAGGCACAATACCTTTTATTTTATGAATTTATTTTTATGTGGTGCTGAGGATCGAACATAGGGTCTCGCACATACTATTCGAATGCTCTACTACTGAGCTACAACCCCAGCCCAAAATAAACTCTATCTTAAGAGATTTGGGTATAATAGAACCATGGAAAAGTGCCAGCAAGCAGCAGATATTTAACGCATCTGAAATTTGAGCACAAAATTGGAGCCAAGTAAAAGCCCTGATTTTTTTAAAGGAGCTCACTATAGCAGAAAGGACAGACTTACACAGCTCTCTGAAGTGTGGTTCTCTCAGAGGATCCTTTTCTGAGCCTCTGCCCCACCTTGGTGTTTTGTTCTTGTGCTTTCTATCTCCCTCTGTATCTGTCTTCTCAAAAGCCTTCACCCTAGCCACACCCTGAACTTAGTCATCATCTATAACTTCTACATTTCTGAAAACTCAAGTTGGAATATGTTGGTTTCCACCACAACATCCTGTCTTTCTATATTCTGATTAAACCCTTGGCCCCCTAGTGGTCCAGTCATGATACTTAACACAGAAGAAACATTTTAGAAATCAAACTAATAATAAGCTGTAAACTTATTTATACTGGGTATGGTGGCACACACCTGTAATCTGAGTGACTAAGAAGGATGGTGAGTTCAAAGCCAGCCTCAGCAATTTAGTGAGGACCTAAGCAACTCAGCAAAACCATTTCTCTAAATAAAATTTAAAAGGGGCTGGGGATGTGGCTCAGTGGTTAAGCACCCCCTGGGTCAGTAAGTAAGTAAGTAAGTAAGTAAGTAAATAAATAAATAAATAAACTACTAAAATTATTTAAATCTTGATTTCCTTTTTCAAATAAACATTACAGGCAGGGGGAGGGGTGGAGTGGGAGCATATTCCAAGTATAGTCCAGTGACACTTAAATCATTTCTCCTATTCAACATTTTTCACCTGGATAAGCTTTTCCCCAAACCTATCTCTTCCACCCTCACTCAGTCCCACACAATTTTTATCTTCCAGCTTCATGTCTGGAAGATAAAAAACTTATTATAAAAACGTATTTCACTTTGGTTTTGCATAACAGAAAGGCTCTGGAGCTGACCTAGCAAACAAAAATTCTTTCTCCCCATCCTCTATCCTATGGGACTCCATGGGGGTTCTTGCAACCTTACAGCTTATTCTGGAAAGAGAGGCAGAAATGGCTTCCAGGAACACAACTGTGGCCCTATTCTGTGCTGGGTGCCCCTCCTCTAACACATCACCCATAGACAGGTCTGGAACTTTTGCCCTACCTGTCTCAGCCACAGATTGATTGTTTATAGTACTAAGGATTTAGCCCAAGGGCACTCTACTACCGAGCTACATTCCCAGCCCTGTTTTTAAATTTGTATTTCAAGACAAGAGTCCCATTAAGTTGCCTAGGCTGACCTTAAACTTGGGATCCCCTGCCTCCAGCCTCCAAAGTCATTGGGATTACATTTGTGTATGTTTACTCATTTTGTGAACTCTCTGAGGATGGGGACCATGTTTTCTTTTTAATGTCCCCTGAAAGTAGCCCAGAACTTTTGGCAAAAATTCTACAAAAAGCCTATTTTAGATCAGATCTAGACAGTTCATCGGTATTTTCTCATGCTAATGCAGGATTGGAAGGGAGGACAGGGGGGAAAAAAAGATTCAAGGGAAAGAGAATCAGCATGTATTGATCACTACTAGAAGCCAAATGCATTGATTGCTGAGCATTTACATTGTTCAACCTCTCCATAAGGCAGGTAGAAGCATACCCATTATACAAATAAGGAGAGCAAGGTTCACGGAGATCAAGTGACTCAAGATCACATCAGTACATATCAGTAGCAAGGTTTGGATTCAGCTTGACTCCAAAATTCTGTGTCTTTTCCAAATGCTGTGAGAGCATGATTACAACGGTTTACAATCCAATGGTTTATTTATTGAAGAAACAAATGGGATGAACAATTAAGTCAATCCATAT